GTTAACTATAAGTGATTATATTACAACAAGTTTAATTCTTAAACTGTCTTAAAAAAGCTATTGCCTTATAGCGATAAAGTATTAATGAACTAACAAACTACAAATGCTTTTTATTTTTCAATTTGATAATACTTCAAGAAGTTATATGATATTTCTGCAAGGTGTATATAACAATGTCCTCTCTAAAAAAATTCAAAGGTCTGCATAGTATTATAGTAAGGGTATTTGAAATGCATTTCTTTTTTCTGATTAAAGCTATTACTAAAAAGATTCAAAAGAATTGATATGGCATCTTGCAAAGCATATCTCTGATGCTTTTTCTTTTTTAGTAAGATTTTAGATTAACATATGTTCTTGCAAGTTCTTCTATTAATGATTTTCCTTCTATAAAGCTGTTTCTTTCCTTTGAGAGAATTCAAGGAAAATGCTATCTTATTTTTGTAAAGTGCACCTTCTATTACTGTACTTTTGTTATACTATAAGTTAGTGTAGTGTGTTTTTCTTTTGTATTTCTTTATAATATAGCACAAGTTATGCATAATATGAAGAAGCCAAATTATAATCAGGCTGCAAAGAGAACAAGTAAACAAGATGAAGTAAGGAAATTCTCTATTTGCTCTCACATGTATCTTTATAATCTCAATCATATCATCAATAATCTTAATCATATGCATATCTTATAATCTTCCTACTTACAATACGCTAATCTCTGTCACAAAAAAAGTAATGGGCCCCATGAAATACCCCTGCGTCAGCAGAGATATTTCATGGGGCCTGTTACTTTTTTTGTAACAGAGATTAGTATATTATAAGTAACTCCGTTAATCAGAGATTTTTAAAGTCCGCCTTAGTGGCAGCATCACATGACTTTTGCCATTTTGTATTTTTACAAAATTGGCAAAATTCAAACTCCGCAGAAGCGGAGTTTGAAATTCAGCCAAGTGGCAAAAGTGGCATGACTTATGTAATGTAAAGGATTATAATATTATGTTCTAACTATCTACTACTATAAAGATATATATTTTACCTATCTATCATAAGGACACTTAGCTACTAAAATACTCACTCAATACACTTCGTAAAGACTACCTATCCATCTATTCACCAAACATCTATCTACTTACTCACCCACCATAAAGACACCTACCTATCTATCTACCAGAATACAAAGAGAAACATAAAGACTAAAAAAAAATAACAGATAAAAGAAATAACAAAGAAAACTAAAAGAATTAAAGAAAGAATTTAAAGGAGAAAAAAGAAAGAGAAATAAGTTAAAAAAAATAACGCTAATAATTCAAAGAAAATAATTTAAATGAAAATAATAAAATAACTAATTTAAATATAAAAAATAACAATAATCAAAAAAATAAAATAGTTAAAAATAAAAAATAGTTAAAAGCAAATAAAAATAAAAATAAAAAGATAATTTTAAAAAAAATAAAACTGATAATTTAAGAGTGTTCTCAAGTGCCTTAATCAATGAGGGTAAAAAGCGTCAGGAAATAAATTTATTTAGTGAAATAAATAGTTTAAATTAGTTGTGTTTATCATTAAGATGAATATGCATAATTTATAAAGCTTATTATATTAATATGACATTTTTATTAATAAAAAAGATTAAAATGAATTGTCATTTAAATCAACAAACATTTTACAATAAACCACCTTTTTTTTATACCTGTCTTGAAAATTTTACAATTAATTGAGTTTTCAAAAAAACCGTACAAGTAATATTGTCATGGATTATCACGTTCAGTGACGAATTATTTTACTTCATGCACTAAAAATTTTTATGAATAATAAAAAAACCAGAAGGCTCAAAAAACAATATGTTTTGTTGTTTAATACTTTAGAAGAGATAGAATCTGTATTTGAAGTTAAATCATCATTAGAAACTGTTTCTAAATTATTTGATGTCTTTCAAAAAAAAAAAGAAAAAAAAATATTAAATTATTATATTTCCGGGATATTGTTGTTGGAATAACATATTATAATTGATGAAGTCAGTAAACAAGCAACAGAGGCTGCTGAAGTTGATGTTTCGTCAAAATATTTTCGATAATTCACAGTATTTGCTTCTTATTTAATGGTTGGTTTTGTATTTTTTTTATTTTTTGTATTTTTACTTCATTTTTTTTTTATTTTTGACGAATAATAAAAGAACTGCTCAAATATTGATTGCAATATTTATTTCAATTAATTCTATTAAATGTGCACCATTACGATCACTAATTAATTATATCGAAAATGATGTTTAAGAAAATTTAAATTATATCATAAATTACATATTCAAATTCTCAATAAAAATTGCATGTAAATATAATTTTGCTTGAGTGCCATTGCAATCACAACATTAGAATAATGCTTGAGAGCACCATAAAACAATAACTTAAAAAAAATAAAAAATAATTTATAAAAAAAAAACTAAATATTAAATAACAAAAAAAAATCGATATTCTAAAAAAAAACCTCCCGATATACTAAAAAGAATTTATTTTATATTCACTAGTAGTGAAATTCACTGGCCTAAGAATTTTTAGGGCTAGGGTGCAATTTTAGGATAAAGAAGGTGTTTATATAACATATTATAGAGGGGCCCTGGATATTTTTACTTAGATACCCTAACTTCAATTATTTATTATTTTTTTTGAGATATATTACTCCAGTGAATTTCACCTCTGATAAATATTGAAGTCATTCTACTAAAAAATAAAAAAAAAAGAATAAAAAAACAATATTTTTTAGAACAAGTTAAAAATTATGTACAATAATTCAAATCTAATAACTATATCTTAATATCTTTATCTGCTACACACAAAAAAAATTATATAACAACAAGTAAGTTAATAATATAAGAATATTTTTCAAACTATCTAATAACTACATCTTAATATCTGTATCTGATGCACAAGTCGGTAAGTTAACATTATAAGAAAGTTTTTCAAAGCAAGTTAAAAATCATGTACAATAATTCAAATCTAATAACTACATCTTAATATTTGTATCTGCTGCCCAAAAAAAAAACTACATAATACAAATTGGTAAGTTAACATTATAAGAATATTTTTCAAAAACAAATTAAAAATTACATACAATAATTCAAATCTAATAATTACATCTCATTATCTGTATCCACTGTACAAAAAAAATCACATAATAGCGAGTAAGTTAACATTATAAAAATATTTTCAACCCAAGTTAAAAATCACATATAATAATTCAAATATAATAACTACAGCTTAATATTTGTATCTGCTACACAAAAAAAAACCATATAATAAAAGTCGGTAAGTTAATATTATAAGAATATTTTTCAAAACAAGCTAAAAATTACATACAATTATTCAAATCTAATAACTACATTTCAATATCTATATCTGCTACACAAAAAAAAATTACATAACAGTGAGTAAATTAACATTATAAGATTATTTTTCAACCCAAGTTAAAAATCATGTATAATAACAATTCTCTTAATATTTGTATCTGCTGCACAAAAAAAAAATTATATAATACAAGTTGGTAAGTTAACACTATAAGAATAATTTTTAAAAGCAAGTTAAAAATTATGTACAATAAATAAATATATCTTAATATCTGTATCTGCTACACAAAAAGAAATTACATAGCAGTGAGTAAGTTAACATTATAAGAATATTTTTTAATAATAATTCAATTCTAATAACTATATCTCAATATCTGTATCTGCTGCACAAAAAAAAAAAAGACAATACAAGTCGGTAAGTTAACACTATAAGAATATTTCTTAAAAGCAAGTTAAAAATTATGTACAATAAATAGCTATATCTTAATATCTGAATTTGCTGCACAGAAAAAAATAACATAATGTGAGTAAGTTAGCATTATAAGAATATTTTTCAAACCAAGTTAAAAATTATATATAATAATTCAATTTTAATAACTATATCCCAATATCTGTATTTGCTATACAATAGCAAGTTAACATTATAAGAATATTTTTTAAACCAAGTTAAAAAACACATATAATAATTCAAATCTAATAATATTCAAAAAAAACAAATAAAAAACTGAATAAAAAAAACAAATAAAAAAACAAAAAAAATGAATAAAAAATATATATATATATATAAAAAAAATAATTTAATTAAAAAAAGATAAAAAAAACCAATATAGCTTATTTAATATATATTATATTTTATTTATAAATTAAGCAAATAATTAATAATATTATTTTTTTATTTTTTATGAGATAGAAATGTCAGAAGAAAAACAACCTACATTTAACATATAATTTTATTTTATATATATAGTTTGTATTTAGTCTCAAAAGTATTAATTTTAATTAATTGTATATAAAATAAAAATTATTATTTTTTATAAATTATATTAATTTTTGGTAGTGATTTTTAGTTTAAATCTAAAAATTAACAAAAAATTAAAAACTTAAATTTTGACAATACTTAGTTCTAAAAGCTAATTTATTGAGGCCTAAGAATTAGCAAAAAATTAAAAACTAGAACCCGAGCAATGCAGGTCCTACACACTAGTCTCTATCACATAAGCTATGAACCTAGTTATTTTTGTAATAATAACCCTATTGTCAATATATAGGGCTAAAACAAACAAGTTAAAAGCTGTTTAGTTGTTAGATTAACTGTTTCAATATTTTTATCTGATTAATACCATTTTCATTTATTACATAAATAAATAAAACATTTTTGTAGATTTTTACTATGATTTTGTTAATTATAATTTTTAATTGTTTGAAATTACAGTTTAATTTAATTATATTTTTCCAATAAATTCTTGTTTATATTGTCTTTTTTTTTATTAGCATAGTATCGTTCATAATATAATAACAAAAAAATATTGATTATTATCACTATATTACTAGTCATGAACCAGATATTAATAAATAGCTGCTTGATATATAAGTATTGAGGCACACTACCATAGAACTGATTATAGTCACATATAAGTATGAAGTAATTCAGTAATTAGTCATATGATTTATAATGAAAAGATGGCTTAGTACTATCAAGATAATTAATATTAATTAAGTAAATATGAGGTAATTGAATTATAGTATATTAGTAAGGTAATTTTATCTTTCTAGCAAACCTAACTTTTGCTTTGGTTACATTATTCCCTTCTTCTACCTATAGTAGTACAATATTAAAAGGAAGAGCAAAACTAATGATGCTCAGCAATACTATATAGGTTTCTTGATAGCAGAACCCATAATGTTCTTCATAGTACTAACTCTAAATATGAGAGATAAAATAATACATACTATTCTGTTAATTTTAACATTTTTTATGTTCAAATTTTGCATCACAATAGTTGCAATTGCACAAGTTGTTTTTGAGAATAAAGTGTTATTTTGAGGGTATGTGAATAAAAAAGTCATAAATTATAAAAATATTTAATTTTTATTAAAAAAATTATTTGAACAATTATGATCTGCAAAAATTTATATTATCTCTATAAATTTTAACATTTCTTTGCATATATATTAGCCCTGGATATTAGATATTAATATAATATATGCATGAGCAGGGAAGAAAAAAGTATTACTTTGAGAATATAGAAATAAAAAAGTCATAAATTATAAATATTTAATTTTTATTAAAAAAATTATTTGCACAATCGTAATCTGCAAAAATTTATATTACCTATTAATTTTAACATTTCTTTTTTTTTTTTTAATGACGCTGCCTCTTTATTACTTATTATAGTGGAATGTACACGGATATACATTATTTTTACAAGATTTTCAGTACATCATTGGTTACAAATTCCTAACTAGTACCTGTTATGCTGCCATCACCAAGTTCGTATCTCAAGCTATCTTTTAAGATACTGCTGAAACCCAGTCTGTATCTCAAGCCACAACCTTCCTAATTAGTCATTCCTTACCAAAGATGTCTCAGGTCCCTCCTCTGTGGTGTTTCAGTTCCCAAACTTCTATAACCACCTTGAGTGAAACGTACTAAACCTTATGGCCCAGTATAGTCGTATTAACCCCATTTACCTCACCATTGGTCCTCACATCCCGTGAAGTTTGCTTACCCTGACTCTGGGTGTCTCCGGATCATTGGATGGTGGGATATTTCCATTTTGCTAGATATCACATGTCTCACACATGTGTTCTTTATCTAGACTTCAGTAACCTATGCCACAGCTCTACCTATGTACTTGGGGTCAGGGCTAACCATTGAATTCTTTTGATTATCTATTTCTGCCCTTATTAGATTTCCAACAACTCTAATACCCGCATTCAGACCATCTTCTTACCCAGATTCTTTATCAGTTTCTCCCTTACTTCCAGCTGGCAACCCGAAAGGGTCGGTCTGCCCAGGCTTTAGGTACCTGAAGGACGCCCTCCCTTGGTACATACTTTCGGAGTGTATGTTCTTTTTCTCCGGTGCGACAGAACCTGGCAGTTCGGCTGGTGTGTCCTCCGCCATTAGGACCTGGTCATTTGGTTCTCCGATCTCGGGCCCAGTTCGAATTCAGCCCTCTTGTGATACCATCAAAGATCATTGTTACTCCTAACTTAGGACTCCCAAATGGGTTTTCGGTTATGCCAGTTCCTCAGGTTTATTGCGCCATTGCTCCCATTACTAGATGGTGTGACTGAAGTTACAGATTAGATCCAACCGATATGCATTAGCCATCAACTAAACACAAGCCTATTTTTCAAATATCATCATCCGTGGGATTCGAACTCTAGACCTGCCACTTGGAGAGGGTGATGACTAGACCACTACACTAAGTCGCCACACCTCTTTATTAATTTTAACATTTCTTTGTATATGTATTAGATCTGGATATTAGATATTAATATAATATATGCATAAGCAGGGAAGAGAAAAGTATTATTTTGAGGATATAGAAATAAAAAAGTTTTAAATTAAAAATATTTAATTTTTATTAAAAAATCATTTACACAATCATGATCTGCAAAATTTATATTATATATCTATTAATTTTAATGTTTTTTGCATATTAGATCTGGATATATACATATTAAATATTGATATAATATGTGTATGAGTGACAAGAAAAGAAAACTTATCACTTACTATCATCATAGTGAATTCTATCCCAAGGGGTAAAATTCATTATGATGATAATAAGTAAAATAATTTACAGTTTTCCCTTTCTAAAGCTTTTTATATTTTGCTTCTAAAATTTTAAAAAATGTAATTGAATATATACAAAATGTAACAAAGTGTAAATTCTTTTACAAGTAGCATGCATATAGATATTTATTATTTTTGCTATCCTGAAAAATAAATAGTACCATACAGCGTAGACCACAGTACCCGGTGTGATGCAAAATTTTACTTAGTAAAATTTAACTATCACGTAATTATGCATCACATGAATGTATAAATAGTATTTTAAAAAATTGATCTACATTATTTGTTATACCAGGTACTATGGTCCGCGCTATATGGTATTTAATAAATATATATAAGATTTTTTAAATATGAAAGTAATAAAATATATACTGTATATACAGTAATTGTTAAAATAAATATATATACAAGTATCTATTTATTATTTTTATTTATTATTTTTTTTTTTAACAGTTCGGCAGTCTTGCCTCTACTTTATTAGGCTTTATAATATTATACTGTGAAATATTAAAATTTTCATAGGGTATAAACCCTAAGAGGGCATCCATATATAATGTTATATACCTCTATATAGTAGTTCTTGACCCCCCCTAGACTATATAAAAAATTTTTATGTTTATATATAAAATTTTATAAAAACTTGGATATATTATAACTCAGTGATCCAATCAGGATAATTTTAGTATCATTTGATTCGTCTCTGTGAGACAAATTTAATGGTACTAAAATTATTTCATTTGGACTACTGGATAATGTTTTATTAACAAAATACTATTGATTTTATAGTAATTTTATAAGAAAACATAATAACCAATAGTATTTCATTAATAAAACATAATCCAGTAATCCAAATTAAATAAAATTGGTACCATAATTGGTACCATTCAACTTCTCTCCTTGAGAGGATTCGAATGGTACCAAAATCAATCATCCAATTTGAACTATTGGATCAAAATTTAGACAAATTTTTATAAAAAAATTACGTTATATTTTAGGGGACCCCTCTCTAAATATTAAAAATCGTTATATTTTGGGGGACTCTCTCCCCCTCTCAAACATAACATTATTTATGGATACCCCTAACACCACCTAAATTACAAGTATTAGCTCACCTGGCTCATTGTGACCAGAGTCCAAATTACCCATATGTGACCTGCTATAGGCAGGATTTTTCTCCAAAATATTCTTTACTGCACTTGCAAAGAATAAATCTTCACCGAAAAATTCTCACCGGCTCATCAAGACTACCTATCCTTCCTTTTAAACTTTTTCCACCTAGATCTGGGCAGAATAGTTTATCTCTTACTTTTTTGTAAGAGAAGAAAAAATATGAAAGAAAACAAAACTATCTAGAAAAAGAAAGAGAAAAACAAAAAAAAAAAAAAACATTTAACCAAAAAAAAGAAGGGGTCCTAAATATGGTTCAATCATAATAGGAACAAGATGAAAAGAGCAGAAAAAAGACATAGGCATCCTGATGAACCACCTTAAAAAAAAACAAACAAAAGAAACAAAAAGAAGAAAAATATACTATTATAACCTGTGCCAGATATAAGGTAAAAAATTATATACTAATTGCAACTAATTAATATATCTCAGCTGTAAAGCTTCGCTTTATCATTGGGACTTGTTCCGAACACATCACCAAGATCAGGTATCTCCTAAACGGTCATCTCCATACCATAGCACCATAGTAATAAACAAAACAAACACGTAGTTGTATTCTACTGAGTTCATCTGAATTAGGTAAGTGTAAACAATGCCGATCTTTTGGAGAGGATAAGCTAGAATGCCCACTTTTTGTTAAAATTTTTTTGGTGAGATTGGCAAAATATGAGAAAGAGAGAAAATACCAAAAGAGCATAGGTTTTCTTTTACTAGAATCAACTATCCACCAGAGCCTGCATAGTACTAAGTCTTTTCTATAAGTGATAAACTCTAAACTTGTTGGCAAGTTGTATATGAGAACTACTTCTAAATGACAAGTGCCGTGCCTGCAGTCAGTAAGTGATAAACTCTGAGACTGTTAGCAGATAGCATATGAGAACTACCTCTAAATAACAGCTGCTGACTTATAGTCTCTTTTCTTATATCTTATATGAGAAGTCATCGACTTTATTCTAGTGTACTGTATTTTTTCCTAGTAAAAAGTTTTTTGAAAATTGTGGTCCAAATGATCATTGGAAAGAGTTGGTTTTTTACAAGTATCTATTTTAGTTTTTTATTATTTCTTTATACTCCTTTTAAAAATATCTGAAAAACGTTCTAACAATTCAAATTCTGAATTCTCTAATAAAAAAAGAAAGTCTTTAAATAAAGATAAAAAAAGTGCCAAATCTAGTTGAATTTGGTATTAATTCAAAGAAGCTATGGATAAAGATAAAGATAAAAAAAATTTCTTATTATTATTTGCAAAATATTAAATAATAATAGTATCAAATATGGTACTAAATACAACTATGCTAGCCAATTAACTCAAAATGCAATAATGCATCTCCAGAATTCACATGAATTAAACAAAAATAAAAAAATCAAGGTTTGTAATTAAAATATATTACTATATTAATTAATATTTAAATTAATATAAAAAACTTTATTTTAGACTAACAAACAAGTTTCGATGAAGAATAAAAAACATTCTGAAGCTCAACAAAATGAATTATGTCAATCTTTTATGACTTGGATTATTAAAGACTCTTAGCCAATCAACACTGTATCTAATGAAGCATTTTGCAAATTAATTCATGATCTTGATTTTTTATCATCCAGAGCAAAGCATAGGACTCATACTTCTATGCTCAGTAATAACAGAAACTATGCTTTTGATATATTTATATCAAAATTATCAAAAACATAGTTGTGGCATTTTCTGTCTATAATGCCATGTATCTTTATTTGAATAGCCATATAACAAAAATAGATTACGCATTTAGCAGCCAATTGTATCGATACTGCAAATTTTTTTACAGTAACTAGTAAGTTTAGAAATCAATGTAGACTAAATCTTATAGCTACTCGCTTTAGGAATCATGATGCAACTAATACTAATACAACATTTAACCACTTTTGTATAACTGGAGTAGATGATAAAAATCGATAATCCCAATACAAAACTACTTTAACCACATCTGCTGAACTGTGTACCTGCCAGAATAGAAGTAAGGTCTAAAGCAAAATTTTCTAGCGACTCACGTTAGAAATTGCAATAATTCCAATGTCAAACTAATTTAAGCTTTAACTACATATTATATTGCAGTGAATAAGTCCAATATTAAATTTTACACCAACTTTCGCCAGAAATCCCAATAATTCCACTGTAGACTAACTCAACTTTAATCACATATAGTATTACTGAAATGGTGAGTAAGTCTTGTAACAGAATTTTTTTAGCAACTTATAATAAAAATCAATCACATACTTGCAGTGTTGGCACATTGTCATTTTAAAATAAATGACAGCATGTCATATGACAAGTCATTTTTGTCATAAAAAAAATAAATTATTTTTTATGACCATATGTCATTTATATGTTATATAGTTTTTATTAACCAATAAAAATCAATAAAATACATAACTAAGTAATATATATCACGAATCTTTAATAATGTAAATTCACAAAATTAATTCTGCATTCAAACTTTACAACATTATAAGATTATTATAATACAGTATAAACTTGGGCGAATCATTAATAAAATTATCTTGTTAGTAAATTGAAACAAAAAATCAGTAAATTGATTGTCAGTAAAATAAACTACTAATTTTTTTACTTATATATCTATTGCACTAATAATATCTAACTACATATACATTGTGTTAGATAATAATAAACCTTTGTTATTTATTTGTCATTTATAATGTCATTTATAAAAATAATTTTAATGATTTGCCATTTTGCCAATACTTAATATAAAAAAAATGACATTGTCAATTTAAAATGATATGTCATTTATGATCATTTTCATAAAAATTTTTATAATCTTGTCATTTGCCAACACTGCATACTTGTACTGGAATTTCTTTACAGTACCTCACGGTAAGAATCATGATAATTTCAATCCAACACATCTATGCTACCGGAGTAGTAAGATGATAAAAGCAATGAAATTTCATTTTATTAATTACAATTACTGAATGACTTTTTTTTATTTCAGTCTTACTTTCTCTTCTTGTCTTGTAAGAATTAATTGATTGGAATGTCTGCATTAAAATGTATTTATTAAATCATAATTTTTATGTTATCCTTTTCGCTTGATTTCATGAAGTGGCAATGCCCAACACTATAGGCTCCATTTACATCACCCATTGCATATTCGTCCTTTTCAGCTCCAATTCCATAAAATTAACATTATAGATTCCATCAGTGTTGTTGTTATATGTTCATCCTTCTTAACTCTAATCCTATGAAACTAACGATATCCATTATTATAGATTCCATTAGCTTAACTCATCACATGTCATCCTTTTTATCTCCATTTCTATGAAAATCATGGTTTCTCATCCTTTTAGCTACAACATTATAGGCTCTATTGGCGTTACTCATCATATGTTCATTGTTTTCCACTCCAATTCAATTAAAATAATGTATGTTCTATCAGCGTCACTATCATATGTTCACTCTTTTAAGCTACGACTTACAGTATTCAACATTATAGATTCCATTATTATACGATGCCCACCATCTTTCAGTTCAAATTCCAGTTTCATGAAACTAACTATGTTTAACATTATAGATTCCATTAACGTTATTACCATATGTTTATCCCAATTTCATGAAACTAACAATATCAATATTATTTATAGGATCCATTAGCATTACCCATTACAACAGTCAATAAGTAACGACATCCAACATTATACGTTCTATTAGCATCACCCACCATATGTTCGTCTCTTTCAGCTCCAATTCCATAGGTTTCATCATCATCACCCACCATCATTTCCAACACTATATGTCTTATCGTACGTTTATCCTTTTCTACTACAGTTCTATAGCGCGCCAGGGTGACTACTAAAAGTACGGGCACATGATAAGACGCCACATCCATAACTTAACATTTTATGAAATTTTTACAACAAGCTGCATGTAGGAGCTAGACGATTTAATAATTTTTTAACATCTTATCATGTGCCCTTACTTCTGGTGGTCGTCCTGGCACACTCGAAACTAACAATGTGTTATTATCATATTATTATCCCAATTCCATAAAACTAACAATATCAACATTATTTATAGGTTCCACTAGCGTTACCCATTACAACGAATGACTTCCAACATTATACATTCAATTAGCATCACCACTGTATATTCATCTCTTTCCATAGATTTCATCATTATCACCTACCATCATTTCCAACACTATATGTTTCCATCAGTTTTCTATCTAGTTCTAAAGCTAACAATGTTCAACATTATAGGTTTCATTAGCATTATTATCACAATTCTATGAAACTGCCGATATTAACATTATTTTTAGGCTCCATTAGCGTTATTATCACAATTCCATAAAACTACCGATATTAACATTATTTATAGTTCCATTAGCATCACCCATTAAATGGCTAACAAATAAGCATTAAACGATCTATTAGCATCACCCACCATATGTTCACCCTTCCAGTTCCAATTCATCATTGTCACTCATCATACAGTATATACATCTTCAACTCCAATTCAACGAAGATTATATCCAGCACTATGTTCCTATCATATATTCATTCTTTTCTAGAACTAATAATATCCAACATTATAGGCTCCATCAGCGTTATCATCATATATTCATCCTTTTCAGCACTAATTCCATGAAACTAACAATATTCAATATTGTAGATTCTATCTGCATTACCCATTTAGAGATTGTACCTGGGTAGGCATCTTTATTATATGACTAGAGATGTTACGGTCCGGTCTTGGTCCTAAAGACCGGTCCTAACAGAGGACCGCGGACCAGACCATAGTCCAGGACTGGTCCAGAACTAGAGGCGTTATGGTTCGGTTTTGGTTTACCGGTCCAAGACCGGTCTATTATTGACCAATAGAAATTCAGAATTTCAAAACTTGGTAAGCCTGTAATACGGTACATATGTACACGACACACACACAATAGGTATTTTCAAATATACTTTTATAACCAACAAAAGCTGAACTCGGGTTTTGTTGAAAAAAAAGTATATTTGAAAATACCTTATATCAGATATATCTTTAACTAGAATGGCTATTGAATAATTTATTTTTAATACATATATTGCAACAATAAAGTTTAAGAATTTAATATAAGTATCCAAAAAGCTTCAACG